TCAGTCTCAGATCACTTAATGGGCCGTATGAATAAAAAGAGTTTACTTTACTTTCCCGTGCTTTTCTTACGGGAAAAGTAAAGTAAACGCTTTTATTCATACGACCTAATATTACATGACATGTTTGTTTACGTCTCATCTTTTATGTCAAAAATTGATTCCGTCACGTGTAAAATTAGTTATTTCTAAGTGTAAACGTGCAATTGGTTCCTCAGACCGTTTGCCTTCTAGAAAGTTTATGACAGGGATTCAGCGTCCTTTAGAGATATTCAATTCTGGGTAATTTTGGATCAATTTTTGCCCATTGGTTGGCATAGATAGCTCTCAATTGATAAGTGTGGATGTGCATCTATTTCTTTTTTAATGTTTTAGCTATTAACTACTTCTTGGCTAGTTCATGGGCTAGTGCTCGTAGAACACAAAGTTGTCAGCCGGCAATGTGTTCGCTACAGAAGCGTAAAAAGCCTAGAAGAGGAAGAAGCGCTTAGGACCATCTTTGGTTTATGAAAACGGTGTATGGAGGAGAAGAATGAACTACGGACTGGCGCAACTCTATGGTGAATTCAGTATCCAGACAAATGGGCGGGACATGTTGTAAGAATGCCCGACATCAATCCCGCAAAAATGATGTTTGTCTTGAATCCGCCTGGTACAATGGAAAGCGGCGCAGCGAGCTAGGTGATTGGACCAAGTGAAGCATGATCTTGGAAGTATAAGACGCTCGAGAAACTGGAGACAAGAAATCTTGAGGAACGTCGGACCAGCAAAAGTAAGTGAAGGACAACGGTGTAAACGGTGAAACATAACACATTCTGTAGGTTTTTCATACGTATATGTAATAGAATCCTTCGCTTCCGGGTTGGGTGTATTGCATTTTACTAGGTCAATTTTTGCCCCGAACTTTATCGGATGGCAATGTCGTATTTACTGTAGGGCAAAAGAGGATGTTTTCCTCTGTTTGGAACATACATCCACTACGACCAGTATTTTGATCTATTGTTGAATATTCTAGTCTAGTGCATGTCGTATTTCTCCATCGCTATTGAGAAATGATGAAGTATTCGGTTTGTATACAGTTGTCATTCTTGCCTTGATCGCAGGGAATTGATTCTAATTGGAAGATCCCGCTATTTACACCCTTCGAAGAGTTATAGCACCCTCCAAAGACACGCCCCTTTATCAGTCAAAATCAAAATATGGATGATAATATACTTCGACGCTATTGTAAACAAAATTACAAGCGTTAACAGTAATTAACGGGTTTGTTCCAGTATGAATTATGAACTAGAATCCATGAAAGTTTGTAAAAATGGCACTTAATCATTAAAAGATTAAGTACCATTTTACTAACTTGTGCACCATTGGTTTGTCACACTTACATTCTTTTAAGTATTCCCGACTTAACTAGGCAAAGAGTATTTCATTGCGATTGCCATACAATCTACAAAAGCCATGCAATGATTGGCTTATAAAATTCTCAATCAAAAACTGTGAAAATGCTGAAAAATATTGAGCATGCATAAGTTCAAGTTGTAATTAATGCTCCATTTCTCCTGAAATTGCTACTTCATGTATGCTGCAATACAGCAAACGTGAAGTAACAGTTTCAATGGGGTACGTTTCGAGGAAGCTGATATTTGTGCACTTAAAGTTTCAAAGTGGTCACGAGAATAAGGATCTCACAGCGAAACACCTTAAAATTAAGTTTAACTCGTACGTCTCCAACGTACGACAAAAAAAAAGATTTAGCTACTATTTCGTTAATTTTCAACGGATTTTGATTAAAGATGTTTCAATCGATCGGAAATCTATTCTGCTTTTTATAAATGTAAAAGTTGAAAAATGTTTTATCAATATCCGTTGAGAATTGACAAAATGGTAGCAAAATCAAGTGTTCTTTTTTTTCCTCTGGCTGAAAGTCTCGCTAATAAAGATAACCTAACCTAACCTTTTTTTCCTTTTTCGGAAAACGTTTGGGACGTACGTATTATTGATAAAACTCATTTCAAGCAATAACAGTTACTAATATATTCCGTTGCAAATAAACTTATGAAATTGACATAGCCACCGCATCTACCATCACACATTCACACTGGATTCAATTTATTGTGGGAATTGCCACTTACAGGCAAAACAAGACATCAAATTCATTAAAAAGCCACCACGGTGTGGATCTCGCGTAAAAATCCAATCGAGATAAAACAAAGTTCAATAAATGATAAAAACTGACGTGTCCCTTCCCACCTTGGGGTACGCGCCGTGGCACGCATATTCGAAGACCTTCGGACCTCATCCCGTAACGGCGGGGAACTGCAGCTGGGAAGATAGGATTAACCGTTGAGCAGTTGAACAGAAGTAAATGAAAAACAGCAAAAATGTATAAAAGAAAACTTTCCTCCTTCTCGCGGCTCGTTATCGTTATTTTCCAGTTCGTTTTTCCCTGCGGCCACCTGACTTCATCCCTTTCGTCTTACGCTCCAAACCTGCCACCAGGGTTGCGTCTTTCAATTACATCGAAATTCATCTTGTAAATCATAAATTAGCTTTTTTGCAGCTTCAGTTCGGATTCTCTGAATCCGACACTTCATTTTTCAGCGTCAGACGGAGCCAAGCCAGCAGTACGTCGAGAAAGAAGGCAAAGTATATTTTTTTGCTTTTACTCCCTTACTTTCAGGGGGCTCGGAGACGTCAAAAAGGAAACTTTTTTTGTTTTTTTTTTTTTCATGGCAAAGACTAAGTTTAACGATTTTTTGGGTGGTTTTTTCGTACCTAATAATTTTTTAGCAGGTCCTTCTTCGACTTGTTCTTATTGGAAGTTATTTTTTCGATTAGTGTTTCCTACATGAACCAAGTTGTACCACAAGAAAGATGCTACAATCTTATCAGAGTTTGCTCCTGTAGGAATATACACTTTCAAATAGGAAGTCAAGCGAGAGTTTGAACCTGGACGCAGCCAGTATCGATTTCCTTTCGCACTGTGGCTCCCCACACTATCGATTCAGTCAAAAAGGGAGACTTTACGTACGTTGAAAGGGAAACGTTGCGTTCGGCTGGAGAAGTGCTTTTTATTGCATTTTAAGCGATCGTCAAGCGTGATGATCACGAGAATGCAATCGACATATTTTTGAATAACCACCAAGGAACAAGTATTCAAGGACGGTTGACTTCTACAACCCAGGATGGGAAGCCAAAGTATGAGAGGAAGCGGAAAAGGGGCGATAATTTTGCCGGACAAATTACTGGACATGTGTTCCTTGGCCGATTATTAATGCATTGGTCAAGAGTCATGCCTGTTTCCAGTCAGAGAGTGTATTAAATTTGATACGTGCGAGATAAAGGGTGTCCTATGTATTACTAAACGTTTTAATTCTAGACTTCCGAGTGAAGTAAGACAATGTCGTTTCATTGTATTTTTTTTTTTCAGACTTACATGAGGTAAAATAATTCAAGTTTGTACTCAGTTTAAACGTCGTCACAAACCCTCCATTATAATCCCAAAGACAGCAGAAAGAAGGGAGATGAAAATCCAAAAATACATTGTCAACCATTGCATTGCTACATCTGTCCCGTAGAAGCACAGACAAGATGAAACCGTACGTAAACATAAGTAGGAACACAAGAACAGGGAGTGACTCATATAAGAAACAGCTCAATTTTCTTCCACTTTCAAATCTTAACTGTTGCCAGTTTGAAGCAAAAATCAAATTCTCCACTGAAAGCTAAACAGTTCGTAACATATAGGCACTCGAGCGAACCACTCATCAAGGACTAGAGGTTAAAGATGTTGCGCAATGTTTAAAGACGGTCTGAAGTTTCCGCACGTCAACCATACGGCGTGTGAGAGCAGAGAATAAGACGTACCACGTATTCTTTAATTTGGTTTTTTGTTTTCCTTTTGATGCTGATAATGGTAACGCGCTACGTGGCGTAAAGATTCAAGCAAAGTGTGGTTCAAGTTCCGAGGGTTCCACGGCTATCACAAAGGCACAACAGGTTTCATTGGGCTTGCTGCTCGGATTCAGTCTTTGCTGTGCGGTTTTCGTTAATTTTCTCTCATATAATTCATTTGTGAATTTCATCTTCCAATATAACACTTTTTGTTTGGGTATTAACGCTCCGTCTGAAACCGAAATGTCTGTTCTAAACTTATGCTATTGTTATTTTTTGTGAGATCAATGTAAAACTTTTCCATGGAAATATCTCTATATTCTCACATTTATTTTTTATCAAATTGAAGAAAACATAACAGCTGATTCTGGGGGACAGCTCCACCAGGAATGTCCAAATATAATTATAGAAAACAGCTTTTAAATCAATTAGATCTGAAAGATGCTTAACGATATTTACGAGAGCTTCCCCCGTGGCGTTTTGTGGCTCAGAATGAGATGCACAGAGAGAGATCCAGGAGAGAAAAATAAACCGGACCGGATGGAAGCGCAAATGATACAAAGTATCGATTGTGGAGATGCTGCGGCGATCTGAGGCAACAGAGGTGGCTGCGCATTGTGAATACATTAAGATTGGTAATAAAGGAAAGCATACACACTCGAGATGGGAGCCAGGTAGAGCCAACCAAATTCACCGGCGGGAATATTTCTGAAATCGTTTTTTAATAATCTCCCCCTCCAGCTTGTTTTCGTCCTTCGTCTTGTGTTCTGTGGTTGCTTCAGTCTTCAAAGTGACCAAACACAACGAGAATGTCTCGGGATGCACGAGGTCCAAAAAGAACAACGTGCCCGCAAACTCGTTCAACAAACCCTCATAAATTTTCGTTCAAATTATGGAGTGCAGAAGATGCAGCAGCAAAGTCAAGTTCAACCTGAATGCTCAAAGTTTCTCCCATATTATGGGGTTTGTCATGGTAGGGAAATTTTTTTACCTTGTCAAACGGAAGGATTTTTACAGGTTTTTAAATTAATTAACACTAATGGAGTAATTTCTGTTCTTCACTAGATTGGCACCCGGGGTGAAAGAAGCGCGATTTGTTTTCACTGACTCACCTGCTATAGCCATCCAGGGGTAGAATGTATGGTTTGACTGGTGCAGACCGGTGGTTGGCGCTGTTTGGCCACCGGTCGAACCGGTCAATGTGCATTGGTTAGTGTTCCACGTTCCGGTAACACCGGTGGCAGCGGTGGAACCTGTTCGACTGACGGGGCTTCCCCCAGAAGCATCAATATAGCCTCCAACGCGGGAATCTGGTGTGCATGCCGAGGGTCGTACAGGAACTGAACTGTTTTGCTGTGCAGGTACATTTCCGCCAGTCGCTGTGTTGGTATTGCTATTGGTGGCACTCGTGTTTGTCGAGTTCCACACATCCTTGTAGCCGTTGGTGGTGTCTGTGGTTCCATTTCCGCCGCCCGTTTTCCCACAATCCTTGGTACTATAGGAACCTTCGTAAATTTGCTTGCATGCTGCCTGTAAGCTGGCATCGTATGGTGAATCTTGGGAAGATCTGCTCTGATGTAGGTGGTGGTTTGTATAGGGGGACATTCCAAGGGACAGTGGAAAGCCTCTGTATGCAGCCGCAGCAGCAGCAGTTGTCTGATCGTGGTGGGTACCAGTTGCGGTCATCATTCCGGCCGCTTGATGCGGATGCCCGTAGAAACCAGTTTGCTCAAAATACGAATTCATGTTGGCCAGAATTTTGGATACCTTCCTTCAAATCCGTGGGTAAAACAAAGTTCTGCTCGCCCCTCGTTAGTGCGAGATGGTCTGTTGTTTTTTATGAGTTCAACGTTTATTTGAGCAAGTCTCGACTTCTCGTCAGCAACCCAACAGCATGGAGGGCATAGAATCAATTTATATTCATATCACTACTATCGTGCACTCAACACACATATTGCATGGACATCATCAGCAATGGAGCCACTTCACTATTTTTTTCCCCAGGCCACACTATCAACTGTTACTCTTTTTTTTTTTCTCACGCGCTGTCGTCACCTGGAAATTGTTTTATGTTCACTGTCACTTTCCTTCTGCTCAATCGTAGAGTTGGTTTATCTGTTTGCAGTACTTGTCACCTATGTTACAACTTTTTACGAATTTTCATTTTTTACTGATCACACTTCCGCATTGGAAACGCGTACCACTCGTATCACCCGCACTTGATGCAGTAGGTGAATTACAAACTTTTCCGGAAATACGCGAAGAATATTCAAAATACGGAAAACTGCAAAATTTCCAACTTTGCGTTTTCCGCCACTTGCATGGACTATGCACAAAACACTTTCGAAGTATTACTAATAAAAGTTGAAGATGTTATTGGTCTGTATTCGAGAGGAGCGCAATAATAATATTAATAACAATAAAAATAAAACGCGCCTTGTCTAAACGGTTGCCTTCAAACGAATGTTCACTTTATTTTGATACGACAATGCCGAAACTATCAATATCTCGCTTTTCGCAAGCCAACAGCAGCGCGGAGCAGACCCAAAGTGTGTACCGCTCGAACTCGAACTCGAACCGATTCTCCGATGGCAGAGAGTAGGTGCAGGAGCGCCAGGCCAACAAAACAGATTCCGTGTGCTGTGAGTGAGTGAGTGAGTGAGTGAGCCACAACACAGACGAAAAACACGGCAGCAACAGCACAGCAACTTGAACCCAAAACGCTCGAAATACATTGCGCGCTTGCGAACGAGTGAGTCACATCGAGGGGTGGCTGGGTGGAGGCACTCGAATTCTACTCGAACAGCTCTGGCTGATAGCAAAACACACATGGAGAGCGAGAGCCATACCTACCACGCGAACGATTCCCCACATGAGAGTGCCACCGAACTGCTCGATTCGTCTCGCACACAGTGAACGGCACATTTACGCTCACATAAAATCCGACAAAATACATCATTATTATGAGCATATAAAATACATTAAAATAAAATATAATCTCTTCTTGTGTATTGTAGCTTGCGCAATAGCGTTGTTTCATTCCACGTGATCGCTGCCTCTCGTTCACTCCACCCAACATGTGCGGATTTGGAAGAGGCTTCCGCTGCACACACAGCGACGTCAACAACGGCGATCATTAGGTCTCGTCGTTCCCGTTCCCATTCATACTCGCAGCATGTTGCATATGCGCCCTCTCACTCGGTTCGGTTTCGCTATTCTCTTTTTTATGGTTTTATGGTGTGCCATCATCATCCTCATCAATACCCTACTGTGTGTGATCTCATCTTTCCTTGGCACCTCTTTCGATGTGCTATTCTCCGCCTGACCGCCGAGGTCTCTATCCTTTCGACTAGTACCCGCACGCACACGGACTCCAGCGAACACATACCACCACATCACCATCACCAGAGCCTTCCGGTGGGCTTTTCGAGCTGCGAGAAATAACTCATTTTTATTAGGCTGTACGACTCTGGGCAGCGCGATGTTCATGTCGGGTTGTGTGTCCTTTCTCTCCTTCTGCTAGAGCTGCTCGGCTACTGGCTTTTTCCCGTCGATGGTCTAGTAGAGCGATTTTCTCGCAGTGTACCATGTGTCTCTAGTCAAGATACAATACTACATAGCAAGCGATTTAGGAGAACGCTCCGATCGTCCGTCAGTCGAGATTTCTGAGCGTTGAGCAGCTTTGTTCGTTATCGGTGATAAGAAAACATAATTTCCATTGACAAACTTTGCATCATAGTTTCGGTTTCATTCCAAATCTTATGATTATTTAGTTGCAACATATTACAAACCTCTAGGTGGTTTTGTGTTTGAAAAATTATTGCTATTAGAAGTGAACTTCGGATTTTTAAATATATTTTGACCGGTTGAATAAAAGTGATAATTGAAATTGTTTGACACATTTTGAAATACTGATATTAATTTAAAATTTAACCTATGAACGTTGTATCATAGTTTGAAAAGTGCAAGTGCAATAACATACCAAATCAAAATATAATCACATTTCAAAATAATTAATCGAATTTATTTGATTTATTTTTCGAATACATGATTTCCACCACTAACTTTGATCAGTCAATCTCACTTCTTTGATAAGTATTACGATTTACAGTATTAAAACTTTTCATATTCGCTTAAAAAACTAAAATAATTACATACCACAGTTGATTGAAATATCTGCATGAATGCTTCCGAATTTCGATAAGTATACACACTAAGATTTTGTTTACAGGAGTCAGTATTTTTGATTGGGTTTTTGAATTACTGAAAAACTCGGTTAAAATTCAATTACCGTTTTTGGTAAAGATTCGATAAAATCGACAAGTTTTATTTTTCATCACTAAACGGGGCTAACAGAAGTAAGTGTAAATTTTCGTAACGCATTTCCTCAAATTTGAATTTTTCACGGTTCCGTAATTCAAAACTCGGTAAAAATTACTGACTGGATAAGTGTCTATGCATATTGCAAATGAAAACCTTACATGTATTGAATATTCTGTTTGCTGTTAATATATAAAAAAAACGAATCGTATTAAAATTGTTTTTGTCTTAATTTTCTTAGTTGGGGGCGACCCCGGCGTAGTGGTTAGCATCCAAACCTCTCACGCCAAAGTCACGAGTTCAAATCTCACCCCCGGACAAGTCACGAATGACCCAAGAGTGTTAAAGTGACCATAATAAAAAAAAAAATTCTTAGTTGAAGATGCTTCAAATAACAGACTTAAAGTGGCAATTTTTATACGATAGATGAGGAAGTGAAAGTATACAGTTGATAGTTCCGTTAGAGCACTGCAGTATGATTTTTATATATTAATTTTCTTACTGTCCTGTCGGATTCTTCAACGATTTATTAAAGCTGATAGTTTTCTAAAATCTCTATCTTTAAAAAAAAAATAGTTTCAAAATATACTGCAGTATCAAATAGTAAAATTAAAATTTAGAGTCTCACTTTTACTGATTTAACCGTGTGGGTTTCTAACTGTATACTAACCAAGTTTGTCAGTTGGTTTTTTAAATATTTATTTGTCCGTGGTGGAAAACATACACTCTGACGATCTTGAACGCATGTGATAAACTGTAAATTATTTAAGTGATGTTAGAACAACGTATCTTATGAGTTCTAGCAAAAATAACTTAATGCATTTTTTGTTTCAGAAGGCAGATGTTGATGAAATGATTTTAATCTGTTCTGTGTTATGTGTAATGATGGCAACTCTCAATATGCTTAGCATAGCATACTTTACAATGACAAAAGCCAAATTGAAGCAATACTTCAATTCAATGCCTTAATTATGAACACGCAAAAGTAATACAATGTATACAATATACTGTTTAGTCTACTTTTATGGATATAATATTGCTTGGAAGTAAGACATAAAATGTAATTATCATTGTAGCAAAACGGTCTACGGCTGATTGACGACAAATAAATATCGCGGGAAGCGAAGGTTGTAACAACAACTAAGCTATCTTGTATTTTTTTGTTCAAATCAAACATATTTTTCACAATTGAAATAGCAGCAGGGTATTTTTTTACTATCGAAAATCATGGACCGAAGATTCTCAGAATGTTATGAATTTTCTCCAAACAAATTCATAACTCATGAACTAAGCATCGCATAACAAATGTTTTGTGGTGAAATAATAAAGAAATTATCTTAGAAATCCACGTAAATATTATATGAAAAATGTTTTACACAAAAATATTCACCATGAAGCAAAATCACTTTTGCGGGTGATGAACCAGCTGAGCTATTTTTTCAAACTTGGAGAAAAAAAAAATCCATTCACTGGTGATAATATAAAAGTGGTATCTCATTCCGTTTATGAGCTATGAACAAAATACTTTTTTAAAAATCCATAAATAAAAAATGATAACCACTCTTAACATTTCACCAGTGAAACGATAAGATTTTTTTTTAATTCAAAATAAAATTTTTAGGAAAATTTTCGCCAATCGGAAAATATGTTTTCCTCCTGTTCTGTGCTATTTTCTCAAACCATGAAAATTTTATTGAAAAGCATGTATCACATTAAATTTTTTAATGTCGAGATAAGTTCCTTACGATTTTACTAAACAAGTTTTTTTTTTATGCGATACTCGCTTTATGAGATAGGATTTTTAAATTATATGAAGTTCGTGAAAATCCATAAAGTTAAAATAAAATTTTCAGGGTAGTTATTTTTTATTCATAAATCAAAAACGGTAAAATACACGACTTTGAATTGATGATTGAAAAAGATAATGTTTTTCGAAGCACGAATAACATATTTGAAATATTTTCAACACTTAGATAATTGTTGTCTGCCTGCAAATTTTCTTCGGAAACATTTTCAGATTATATTTTATATGGTTTGCTGAGATTTTATAGCATTACATTTATTCTATAATGCTTGGTTCATAAGGTACGTGTTTTCAAAATTCGTGATTTCTGGGAAGATTCGAAACATTAACTACACTGAAATCGAAACTAACTCAGAGATTGAGGCACTTTTACTCAATTGTTATTCACTGTTATTATTTGCTGAGATTTTATAGCATTACATTTATTCTATAATGCTTGGTTCATAAGGTACGTGTTTTCAAAATTCGTGATTTCTGGGAAGATTCGAAACATTAACTACACTGAAATCGAAACTAACTCAGAGATTGAGGCACTTTTACTCAATTGTTATTCACTTTTACTCATTCGTATGGTAAAATGTCTAAAAACGTAGGTCACTAAGCGCATGAGTAACCTACGCTTTTATAAATTTACAATACGAATGAGTAAAAGTGACTCACTGGGGCTTATTGCGGATGTCACTTCACGGTGAAAACTTGTCACTTTTCGTCACGGTGAAGTGATTCCCATTTGATTTGTACGGCAATCTCAACTCTTGTTCTGAGTATCACTTCCTTATCACTTCCTTATCACCGTGGAGTGACACCGTAACCGGGCCCACTATCTGAGTAAGATTCGTTTTCTGTGTAAAGTTTTACCCTCTTACTGGGGCCTCCCTTAGCTCAGTCGCAGCTACAAAGCAAGACCATGCTGGATGGAGGTAGCTGGGTTCGATTCCCGGGCCGGTCTAGGAATTTTTCGGGTTGGAAAATGTCTCGACTTCCCTGGGCATAGAAGTATGATTGGACTTGCCACACAATTATATCAATACAAAAATGGTACAAGCATCGAAAGCTCTCAATTAATAACTGTGGAAGTGCACCTAGAACACCAAGTTGAGAGCACGCAATAAGCTTGAAATGCGAAAAAGAAGAAGTAAAGTTTTACCGGAAGATTGGAAAATCCCATCTTTTTTTAATTTATGTATAGTTCATTTGATTACAAACTATACCTGTGGACACAATTTCATAGCATTCTGGGAACATTCAGCCCAAACCTGTTCAATAATAAAAAAGACAGTACTCTCCACCAGAGGACAAGCAGTTTTAAAATGAAAAACTACAAGGGCCAGCCCAGCGGGATTTCGAACAGTTGACGTAGGACTACGCTCACATTAGTTAACTATTTTGAAAGAACGTTATTTAAAATTCCCGATATTATTATGACATCCGTGAATTTCTTCCGAAGTGTAATAATTGGTCAGTGTCCATTTTCCGTTAAATACTAATAAGATTCCTTTTCAATTCATGTGTAATTATTGTTGTGTTAGAACATATTCCAAACTAACTCTTTCTTTGAAAATTGTGGTGGCCCTGAAAAGGTCCGTTGGCTTGTGGCTCTGAAAAGAGCCGTTTTATTGTTGCATGGCCCTCGATAGAAGTAAGGACTATCCAACGCTTATGTAATCACAAAAGCACAAGAATGAGGATCGGCTCGACGATGC